ACCATTGATATGCCAATAATGCTAATGTTTAAATTTTCAACCTTGACCTTTCCCCTGGACTCCAGACTTCTATATACAAATTTCTTGATATCTCCTATTAGATTTTTGATATGCAAATCATAATTAACATGTCCAAAATTCTGCTCCAGATCCTGCTCTAAAACTTGCTTCTCCATAGTTTTGCCCATATCAATAAATGATAACTTGGAGTCATTGTTGACCCTTCTTTCCCAGGATTAGAATGCTTAGTGAATTGTCAGCTTTACCTTTAAAATACATCTAGAATCTGACCACTTCTATTGCTACTGTTTTGAGCTAAACAACCATCTTCTCTTGACTGGGTAACTTCAATAGTCTTGATATGTCAGAACTTGTCCCCACACCCCATCCACAAGACATCCCCATTAAGATTGTAAGTCCAAGTTGTTACAATGGCCTATGAGTTCCCATTATCTTCTGCTCACATCTCACCTGTGATCAACCTCCTCCACCATATTAGCTTCCTTCCCTTTCTTCCCTGGAATGCTTCCTCCATGGGGCCTTTACATCTGCTGTTTCCTCTGCCTGGTGTTCTTCCCTCAGATATGCACATGGCTTACTTTCCCTCCTGCTTTGAGTTTTTAATCCCTAAACATTTCCTGTAAAAAAAATCGTTTTCCTCAGCAGTTATCAGTTATTAACATCTAACTTTATATGTTATTTATCTTATTTATTCTCTTTCCACTAGACTGTTCCATAAGAACATGATTTTTTAAAAAAAAAATTATCATCATAACTCAAGTTCCTGTATCCTTAAGAGGTTGGGGTGATACTGACAAGAGGCAAGCCGTTTCACTTGTACAGATTTAATACTTGGAGACACTCTTCCAAGGACAGGTGAAAAGCAGGGCTAAATATGTGAGGACAGTTGAGAGTCAGGATAGAAAATTGTTGGACTCCTAGATATCCTTTTTTTTTTGTGTGTGTATTCAGGTTTTCTTTTCCTTTCTTCCTCCCAGGATTAATTTTCTTGAGGAATGGAGACTCTCATGCCCTCCCATCATTGCATTCTGTGTTTACCTCTATTGTTGTAGCACTATCCTGAAATCACCTTCCTAACTGTCCATTTATGCTGGAAAATCATAAACTCTTGAATGTTGGGATCAAACTTTTCCAGTGACGCTGTGGCCTCAGCACCAAAATCTGTGGAATGATAATCATTCCTTGTTGATTGATTTGCTTTAATGAATACTCCAAGTAGGAAATGAAAAGAACCTGAACAAGGTCACAATGAGGAGTTAATGACCACTTAGAAATGGAGTGAAAGGCACTGTCTAGAGTAACTCCCAGGGTTTTGATTGGCATGCAGGAGAGTCTGCAATGTTTCCCTTGTGATTAACCTGGAGGTGGGATAAAATCAATGAAGATTTGTTATCAGCCTGGGGCAAGCAGCTGGGGCGAGAGTTATTTTCCTATCCAGGTTATTACTAATTGTCTCATATAGAAATAGAAGCAAAACAATAATTATCAGGTTTCAAATAGTGTGTTGGACTGACCAACAGTATTCATTTAAAGCATGTTTTCATTCACAAAGCTCCCCAAACAATGGGTCAAGTGGTTGAAACAGGGATTGTTAGATCCAGGTTCCTTGCAGCAGATATTATGTAAGCTTGTTGGGTGCCAATTATTCCCAGAGTTTATAACACAGGAAATATATGACTATCTATCCTTACATACTGTTTAGGTTTTCTAATTACAATGCAAATAGCACATGTGTTTCTTAATCCTTATAAAACTTGTTAATATTATAACAAGATGGTATTGGAAGCTGGAAAGGAAATTTTACAGGGAACCAGATAACAGACTACTTGATTTCACCTGCTAAGGCAGTTTCTGCAGGCACCTGAAGTAATTTTTGCAGGTTGGGCATGACTGGTAATAGACTTAGTCCACAGTTGCGGTATCATGTGACCCCGTAGGACCCATTCTGATCAAATAACATCATCACTAATGCAAACTGGAGTTGTGCTCACTGAACTTCCTCAGGCTTGAGGCATAGAAGCAGACATCATCCTTTGTTAAAAAGGTGTCCTTTGAATTTTCTGCATTAAAATATAGTTTCGGTAGAGATTTATATATTAATCCTCATTTTACCCAAAATCAAACCCAGGCTATTAATTCACATTTCTTAATGGGAAATAAATTAATGAGAGGCTCTTAATTCTGATGTAACTAGCTTTACTAGGATGTATAGAAATAGAAAATAGAGGTAGAATATGGACACTTAACTGAGCTTTGACTACAGACCTGAGTAGTTCAGTTGATGTTCCATCAGTTCTTTGGGATGGTATTCTAAAAGCCAACCCTGCTCCTCCAGCTTTCTTCCTAGGGATAAGGAAGATGGGGGAGGGCGCCTGGGTGGCTCAGTTGGTTAAGCGACTGCCTTCGGCTCAGGTCATGATCCTGGAGTCCCAGGATCGAGTCCTGCATCGGGCTCCCTGCTCGGCAGGGAGTCTGCTTCTCCCTCTGACCCTCCCCCCTCTCATGTGCTCTCTCTCAAATAAATAAATAAAACCTTTAAAAAAA